CAAGGGTTTCCATAAGGATGACGCCAAGGCTTTCCACAATGGTTACGGCTACTGCAGGGTTCTGTGCGAAGCAGGGGCTACGCAGGGTTTATGTCGGGTGAGAGCATATATGGGGGCCTCCGGCGGCTGCTGGCGCCTCCAGGGTCCTGGCTACCCCGATCTGCGCCTCCAGGGTCCCCACCATCGCTCCTTTGCAGATGGCGGATCCGTGTGGTGCCCAAGCAAGATAAGCCTTGGAGATGATGTCCCGGGCATGCTCCAGAGTGTGCGGCACAGTTAAGTACTGGTGGGTGTACATTTGGGGCTGTAGCAAAGACAAGCAAGGTAAACCCTACCCCACACGGCGCTGTCAGGCTTCAAGCGACTGTATGAACAAATTGGAAGAGTGCTTTAAAAGGAGATTTGTGGTACTTGTCAAGGGTTCCTCCAGTTCCCCCTCAACACTAAATCCTCAATCCACACCTGAAGCCCCAAGCCCTCAATCGTAAAGCCTCAACACTAAACCTTCAACCCAAACCCCTAAACCCTAAACCCCAAACCCCAAACCCTAAACCCTAAACCCTAAACGTACTTGGAACCTCGCCAGGCATGTCCCAGTTGTGGGTGCTGAAACGCTAAACCCTAAACCCTAAACTCCAAACCCGACGGGTGTCGCCGAAAGGCGGCGGCGCGATCGGAGGCGGCGGAGCAGGAAGACGGCGAGGCCTGGGCTAACGGGCTAAGAAAGCCCCCCGCTAGAGAGTTTAGGGTTTAGGGTTTAGGCTTCCGAAAGGGTTTTCTTATAAAGGTTCTATAGAGGGTTCTCTAAAGGGTTCTGCAAGGGCTCTTTAGAAGGTTTTAGGGGCTTGGGGGGCTTGGGTTCAAAGGGGCATTTCCTGAACTAGTATTCAGAAAAATCATGTCTGCAAGATGCAGGGGATAGAGGGCTCATTTTTTAGGTTCTTTGGGCGTTAGGAATTGAAGGTTGTAATGCCAGGGTTACTACATGGGTTCCTAAGCGGGTTTACCTGTGAAGAGCTATAGTCATCCGGGCGGGCTTGTTGGGCGGCGACAAGAGTGTGTGTAGAGTTTTAGGGTTCAGGGTTTCCATGCTTCTGGGTTCCGAATGCGAGAGTTTCAGGAATTAATGGAGTCAAATAGAAAGATCGCAGAGTACTAGGAGCCTTCATATACGGACTAATGTCATCAACGCCAGCACTGCTTTACACTGGGACCTGCAGGCCCAAACCGCAGATCGAGATTTTAGGTTCAGGGTTTCCTGACAAGATGCGCTTGTGGGGTGTTGGGACCCTAAACCCCAAACCCTAAACCCTAAACCCTAAACCCCAAAGACACGAGAGTCGAGAGTGTGGGTCGCGAGGCGTCAGAGGAGGTCGCGCAGTGGCAGGTTCCGCTGCTGCTTGTTTGAGGGAGTCGCAGGCATTTCGGGCCTTTGGAGTTGGAGTTCCGGGTTCCGGATTCTGGTAGGAGCTTCATTGATTTATGGGTAGGGTTGAGTGGGGTTACGAGTCCCCTGATATGCCTTCTAATTATAGCTGCCCTACTTTTTAACCTCACTCATAACTATCCATGAACCTCGGATTATTGGGATGCCATCGGCTGTGAGTTTTGGGTCTCTTCGATCCCGAAGTTTGCTGTCACATCCTGGCATGGTGCTCGGAAGTGGGCCAGGATCTCGGGAATGGCATGGTAGGGTCTGTATAGGGTTTCGGGTTCAGCGTTTAGGGGTTTGGGGGTTTAGGGTTGGGGTTCAGGGCTAGGGTTTAGGGTATTAGGCCATGGTCTGGCTTCACTTGAGTCCCAGTAGCAAACAAAGGGTTAGGGGTTTGGGGTTAGGGTTTCGGTCGGAGGCTCCAAGACACCCTGCGAGGCAACTGTTGCTCAAGGGCGTCGTGCAAGGGTCTAGGCAAGCAAGCAGGGCGGACGAAACAGTCTGCGAGTGCGTCCTTGAAGAAAGCATCTTATATCGCCCCGCAATCGAAATCTTTACCAGGATGCCCCCACGCTCCATGTGCCGAAGCCCTCAACGCGTAAAGACCCTGCATCTCCAAACACCCAAGACCTTCGAAACCCTGGGTCCTGCAACCTTAATAGCTTAAAGCCTTCAATTTTCTTCAAGCCTTGTCTGTTAAATCCTTAAACCCCTGAAGCCCAAAAGCCCCAAGCCCAACAACCCCAAACACGAAGCACTTAAGACTCGAACAGCCTGGGCCCCAAAACCCTAAACCAAACCATGAATACCCGAAAGGGTCCAGGCCGTACGACCCTAAGACGTAACAGAACGAGCTTGCCAGGAGGAGTGGGAGCGACGCTTCTCGCAGGACCCTGACGTCCGAAATGCGATTGGGATTCAGAAGGCCGTACATCTCTTAAACTAGATGTTAAGAACTCCCCTGTTCAACTCCCAGATAAACTTTTTGTATGGCACGTCTAAACCGTTGTTTAAGACAACACCTGAAAAGGTCTCTCAATATTTGAAGGCACCTCCAAATGGGTAGTTCTCTAAATTAGGGCCCCTGTTTAGGTCCCCAATACAGTACGGCACCCTTATAAAAAGGACCCTAAAAGGGACCCGAATTTAGAACACTACCCAAACTGAACCCTTATAGTAGCCTTATAGAAACTAGAAAGAAACCCTTATAGATCCCTTTAAAGGCCCCTAAAAGGGACCCTAATTTAGATAAACCCTAAACCCTAAACCCTAAAAGGGACCCTAATTTAGAACACGACCCAAATCCCAAGTTGAGGAGGAGGCTGCCGCCTGGCAGCGCGCGGAGTGCTGGACGGCAAAGTGTCAGGCTCCGGCCATGGGTTTAGGGTTTAGGGTTTAGGGTTTGGCCGGCTTAGGGTTTAGGGTTTAGGGTTTGGCTCAAGTTTGGCTACGAGGCCCTAACGGGCAACCTTTTCCCAATTCGATCGGTTTCTCGCCAATGCAATGGAGCAGAAGCTGAGTGCAAACATTGCCCATGCTATTCGATTGGCAAAGAAGTGCCATGCGGGTACCGTGGCTTCATTGCTGTGGGACGCGTTGTATGAGCTCAATTCAGGACACAGTCGCCCGAAGCCCATCTCACTTTTCACTGCTTTAGGTCTCGCTGCCGGTGAGGATGCAGACTTCGAAGTCAAGGATCCTAGTACAGTCCCTGTGCATGCGGGGGATCAGACCGAAGACGTCGTCCAACCTGAACCAGAGGCAGAAGAAATGGTATTCGCAAATCAAGCAGGCCAGGATTTCTTTGAGACGATGGCCTCCCAGTTGATCGTCGCCGTTGAAACGCAGGTTCAAGCCCAGACTCGTTCGCTGGTGGATCGCATTGGAGCACTTGAGAGACAACAGGCGGGCAACACGGTCTTTTCTTCTGTTACTGATGATGCCACAGAGC